TTTGATGAAAGGGGTGGTGAGGGGGGGGGGGGGGGGGGATGAGGTGAGGGTGTTGGGGGTTGAGTGAGTTGGTATGTTGTGTTGGATGATAGGGATAGCGCGGGGACTGGGCAGCGCGGGCAAGTGGCGCCCTGTACTGCAAACCACCGGCAGACGGCAGGGAGGGCATCCAGGCTCCGAGGCGAGAGGCCATGCATGCTGCAGTTGACATGATGTTTTTGTCCAGCTGGCTCACCCTCCATCTCCTCCCTAAAACCCCCCCTGGGTTCTCTCCACTTCCCCTCTGCCAGACCGCCTGCCCACCTGGATGGCGTCCAGGGTCAGCAGGCTGTAGAGGCGCTCGTAGAAGCGCGGGTACTCCAGGCCGTGCCGCGTGACCAAGATGAAGATGGAGTTGAGGGCCAGCAGACCCGCGAAGCCGCCGCCATCCAGCGCGCGCGCCAGGAAGTCGCAGAGCAGCAGCGGGTTGGACAGCCCCGGCATCACGCGGTCGGGCAGCGCCTCCAGCACCCGGTCGTGGATGTCGGCGGGGAGGGGCAGGCGCAGGAAGGCCAGCCACGCCTCGCTGTACGCCCGCTGCTGCAGCTTGTCGGAGGCCCAGCGCGTGCGTCGCTCCGGCGCCACGCCCACCGCCTGCTCCAGACGCTGGCGCTTGCGGCGAGCGCGCGCGCCCTCGCCCGCACCCGACCCGGCCAGGGCACCCCCCTCCGCCACCCCGCACCAGGACCCGGCGTCGGGGGGGCAGGTGGTCGGGGCATTGAGCAGCACGTCCAGAGCGGAGTAGGCAAACTCGCCGGGGCCCGAGGACTCTCGCCTCTCCAGGGCCGTGCACAGCTGGCACACCGTGCGCAGGGTGTAGTATCGCACGTCCAAGTAGCCTGAAGATGTGTTGGGGGGAGTTGGAGTGTGGGGGAGGGACCCTCGCGACGGCATCGGCTTGGCTGTGCGAGGCACCTGCCTGCCTGCCAGGGTGAATGCAACAGCAAACCCACCTTCCTCAGGAAATCCCAGTCGAACGCACTGCCTCTGAACCATGCACTCACCCAGGAAGGTGGCAAGCAGGTACTGGAGGACGGCGCTGTCTGCAGACTCCCTGGTGAGCACCCTTTCCAGCAGCACAGCGTACAGGTCGTGGTCGATGTCGGTGCCCCTGGCCTCGCCCACCAGGCCCATCAGAGCCCGGGCCGCTGCGAGCTGGGCATCCGCCTCGTAGCCACCCTCCAGGGTGGCCAGGAGGGAGGCGGTGTAGGCAGAGTACTGCCGCGTGAGCCAGGCAGAGTAGGCAGAGACTGGGCTCGCGTCGGCGTGGTCGGTGGGCTTTGTGGAGCCGGGCACAAGGGTGCCGTCCTCCAGTCGGGCCAGGAAGTAGGACTGCAGTCCCTCCACTACATCTACCAACTGTACGAGTGTGCGATAGTCGCAATGTCAAATTTTCTTGAAGGGACGCGCTCGACGTCACTGCATGCCTGGCAGGGTCCCACACACAGACAGCCATGTCGCCCAATCCACAGCCCACACCTGGGCATCTTTGGCCCCTATCCGGGTGACCAGCAGCGGCACGTTGTTGGCGTTCTTTGTGTGGTCCTCGCTCAGCTCGACGAGGAGCTGCGAGGGAGTTTTACTCGCGGCCTTGCTGGACCGGGCTGGTCGGCCCATCTCCGAGGCACGACTCCTCCCGTTCCTATATTATTGCGTATGTATGTACCCGTAAAAATACGTTGTTGTCGCGGTAGGCTATGGCACTTCAAGTACGTTGGCGCTTGCATGCATCTGCATCTCCCAGCGCGCGCGACCAATCTACGCTGGCATGGCGCATGCCCTTCCCCACGAGCATGTGCCACAGGCGGGATATCATACAGCTGTACCATGTTTATATAAGATTGAGTTATTTATGCCCTTTGCTGACGAGCTCAAGTCTCTTCCCAGGTGTGATCGCGTGGATTGCTGACCTCGATGCTGCCTTGACCGGAGAAACTCCTTGCAGCACTTCGTCTACCATCCTCGGTCGAGTGCCCTCGAATTATCCTCGCACGTCTTTGAAGAATCGGCTAGAATTGAGTTCTCCTTGCTATCTCTTCGTTCCCCCTGGGCCTCGATTGCAGCACACTGATGTCCATGCACCTCGTAAAGCAGAGGGCTGCAACTCCATTCGCCCAGGGTCCAGCTGCTGGGCCCCTCAGGGCACCACATCCAGTATGCCAGGCACAATGCAGGCATGCAAGGGCGCACGTGACCGCCGCTTTGCGACAGGACTACAGCCAGATGTCTGCCCGCACTGCCCAGCTGAGGAGGCTGCTGTCCTCCCCCGACATTCTTATGGTAAGCTGGGTCCAGCCTGGGCAGCTTTTCTTGGCGGAGAGCCATGCCTCCTTGGCGTGTCAAAGGCAGGTGCCTCCGAGTGCCTCCATGGGGCCTTCATGGAGGATGGTCCCGCAACTATAACGTCACCTTCACCCGTCATGCCCCTCCATTCCCTAGACCCCCTGCTGCTATGACGGGCTGTCGTCCCGGCTCATCGAGGCGGCGGGCTTCCAGGCCGCCTTCATGTCGGGCTTTTGCACCAGCGCCGCCCGCCTGGGCGCCCCCGACGCCGGCCTGCTCTCGTACGCTGAGATGACGGAGCAGGCGCGGTGCTGCGTTGAGGCCACGGCCGCCCTGCCCATCATCGGTGACGGCGACACGGGTGAGGGAAAAGATGGTATGGGGATCTCACCAACGGGAAGAAGTGGAGGGTGCTGGTGAGGAAGTGTGCTGAGCAGGCGGTCCAGACTGGGTGACGAGCTGCCACAGGGGTCTGACCCAGGCCCAGGCAACCTGGCCGTGGCGATAAACTCGCTCCTGGTCGTCACTACATTGCCCCACCAGCAGCTCTGCCCTCGCGTTCCCACGCAGGCTACGGGAATGCCATGAATGTGAAGCGCACAGTGAGGGGCTATGCGGCAGCCGGCCTGTCTGGCATTCTGCTGGAGGATCAGGTGGGGCCGGTCGGGGTTGTGCGTGGGGCAGGAGGCTTTCATCGATGACCCGCTGCATGAGCTTCTACAGCCATTCTCTGGAAGAGCCTGCCTGCCCTTATTCCTTCAAGTACCCATCACCCCTGCACCCACCGAGCCTTCAGGAGTGGCCCAAGTCGTGTGGGCACGTGGGCAGGAAGCGGGTGGTGGGCAGGGAGGAGGCGCTGGCGCGCGTGAGGGCGGCCTGCGATGCAAGGTGCGGGGGCAGGTGCTGGTGGAAAGCGTGGCTGAGTCAAACCCAGGTACCGCTACCCGTTGAAACAAGCTGTGCCATCCTTCCCACAGCTCTGGCCCACCACAGGGCTCTCCACTCCCTCAACCTTACTTAGTACCACACTACCCCGCCGCGCTTTCTTCAGGGATGAGGGCAGCGGCATCGTCGTCATCGCCCGCTCCGACGCGCGGCAGGCGGTTGGGCTGAGCGAGGCCCTGCATCGCGCGGCGGCCTTTGCCGAGGCGGGGGCGGACGTCGTCTTTGTGGACGCGCTGGAGAGCGATGAAGAAATGGCGGCGCTTTGCGGCGTCGCAGGGGTCGTGAAGATGGCCAACATGCTCGAGGGGGGCCGCACGCCCATCCTGCCCCCTCATGCGCTGCAGGCCATGGGCTTTGGGATCGTGGCCTACCCACTGTCCCTGTTGGGGGTCTGCATCTCCGGCATGCAGCAGGCCCTGCAGGACCTCAAGGGGGGCCACATCCCGGCAGGCCTGCCCTCCTTCCAGGTGGGACGGGGGTAGTCCTGCCCTGGCGGGGAATGTCAGGCTGAGAGAAAATACGTGCCATGGGGATGGGGAGGGGCGCAGGCCGTCACACAACATAGTGGAGCCGGCCTTCACCTCTGGGTGCGCCCGGCACTTTGCAATCCCAACTTCTCTGCCCCACCTCTCCTTCACACAGGAAATTCAAGGAGTGGTGGGCTTTCCCGAGTACTTTAGGGAGGCTGACCACTACAAGGCCACAAGCCAGGGTGCGGTGGGGTCACCCTGACAAGACTCTTTGCCCGTTCCCACCCCCTGTGCTGCTGCCCCGTGCTCCTGCCATTTGAAAACGGCTGTGGAATCCCACCCGTGCGCTGTAACCTTGAACTTGGCTGAAACGATTTTAAGAAATTCACAACACTAGCTCACGTTGCGTGGACCAGCCAAACCCCCAAAAAGCTTGGAATTGGACACGGGATGAGACCTAGGGCCCTTGGGAAAACTAGGTCATTACCCCCCCCGAAGCTAGAATGTTGTGTGGCCCGGCCAGTCCCCATGCCGTGGACTGACGTTGATGCTAACAGTCATGAATATTACAGCCAGGTCCCCGAATGCAGTGTGGTGATCGGGCTCTTTACTTGTTGCCGCGCGGCGCGGGCACGGCGCAGTGCACCAGTACCGCATGGTAAGGCGAGAGGGCCTGATCCTCGGAAGCCCACAACAGAGGGCACAAGGCGTTATTCAGTAGCAAAGCCAAATCAAACTGCTGAGCTTGGAGCCCATTTTCATCTGGAGTACTAGATAAGTTAGAACCTGAGCAAGATGCCTTTGCTCCATGAGTTGTTCTCCTTCATCCTCCTTTCCTGCCAGTGTCGTCAGTGGTGCTCATGCATTTTGGCCTGATGGGAACCATACTTCAACAGAACTTATCCCGCCCAAGTATTTATGCTGCAATTCGGAGTTTGTTTCCTCATACGAGTACACAGTGTCAGGGATCGAAGAGTGGATCGGTGATGGCATGCTCTCCGTGAGCACAGTCTTGTGACCGAGACCACCACCACCTCCATGCCCCATGTCGAGGTCCATGACAAGTATCCTGTTAAGCTCTACTATACACTGCATGTCGGTGAAAGCGCCCACTCGGCTCTTGGACGTGTGAGCAGCGCCCGCTCGGCAGCTGCCGCCTCGCCTGAAGGTGACTCCTCCACCACCACTGGCAGCACCACATCTGATGCCGAGTCGGGGGCAGGACCTCCCGCCTCCTCCTTCCAGAGGGCGGCAGCGGTGCCAGACTCTCAACACCGGGTGCTGTTTGTCATGGGCTTGGCTGCCTGCGGGAATTCCGAGTACTTGGAAGGACCCCTCCAGCACCTCTTGTCACTCCAGGTTGGCGTGGTTGGTGAACAAGCTGTTCCCCCTGTGCAATTTAAATTTTTATACCGATCACCATGTTCTACTTGACCCTGTTGACATTCCTGTATTTCATCCTGGCTCTTTGTTCCCGCAGGACGCTCATGGCCGGCCGCTCGTGTGCGCCTGCACCTTTGACAATCGCGGCGTCGGTCTGAGCACCATCCCCCAGCGATGGCACCACTATAGCTCCACCATTATGGCGGAGGATGTGGCGCAGCTTCTAGATCACCTCGGCTGGCATTCCAAGGTGTGAAGTGCGCCGGTGTGTGTGCACTGCGGACGGAGAGTAGGGGGTCATCGCATCTAGCCCGTCACTGTGCTGCCGAATGCATGGACAAAGCATGGGCATCGAGCTGCGCATACGCCAACCCCCAGGTCCACCTGGTGGGTCAGAGCCTGGGCGCCAATGTCTGCATGAAGGCCGCTGCCAAGCAGCCCGACCGCTTCGCATCCCTCACCATGCTGGGCGGGGTGCTCAGCGGCATGCACATGCTGAAGAACGCCTGCCTCCAGACGCCCCGCCTGACTGTCACGGTGAGACCGGTATCGCTCGGGGGTAACGGCAGTGCTGAGCATGGCATGTGCTAGGGTCTCAAAGTGGGGCCAGGGCGGGGGGTTGGGATTTTGGGTGTGGCCTCCAGCATGTCAGCTTACAGCGTCGCTTGGGTGGCCTTCACCTGCCCAACCCCGACCTACCCACAGAATCTTTTTGGGAGCCGCAGCGAGAAGCTGGCATGCAGCCTGAAGTTCCACTTCACCAAGGACTTTCTGGAGGCAGACACAGGTGGAGTGCGGGGGTAATCTGGCCTCAAGATGTCAGCCGGGCACCTTCTTAGCCTGCTTGTGTCAAGATGTTGCGAGCCGCACCGCATGATGGCGCGCATACGCTGATGCACCCCGCTACCGAGTGATCGCCGCTCGTGATCCAGCCCACTCCCTTGCACACGCACCACGATCACGTGCCCGCGCTGTTCCTCACCATTGTCGCCCCCAGCACGCCGCACAGGGAACGGGAAGCCTCGGCTGCAGGCCATGGTGGAGAAGCTGGAAGGCGAGATCGCCGAGCGCCGCGCACTGCAGCCCGACCGCCGCATCGCTGCTGCGAGGAAGAAAGGGCGCTGGGGCCAGCTGTGGGCCACCGCGATGCACAGCATGAAGGGGTCGGAGGAGCGCGCCATCCGGCACGCGCCACACCTGCGGCCCCTCGTCCTGCATGGCTGGGAGGACAGGTGGGGGGTGGGGAGAATAAGCGAAGGCATCGCATCTGCTGGTCTAATGCGAGCCCTCCAGTCCAATGACCCATATGTGTCCGCTAAGGTCTGCGCTGCGCCCCCTGCTGTTGGAAATCTCCACAAGAGCGCCCTTTCTGTCCCCTCTTCTAGCATCTCTCCTTGAATCCACCCCCCCCTCAAGTGCTCGGTGCAGGCTTATCTCCCCCAGCCACCTCCAGAAGCTGGGCCACTCGCTGGGGGCCCGCATGCTGGCGGTTCCCGCTGGCCATGCCGGCATCGGCATCGAGGCCTGCGAGACCATCGCCCATGCTTTCCAGAACCAGATCCTGGGTGGAGGCGTGCTGGGCACTGGCAGCGGTGTGCCCCCCTCCTGCCAGGCCCTGCGCTACCCTGGAATGCACACCTTGGGCGGCGCCTGCTCGGAGGGTCTGGATGATGCGCTGGAGCGGGGGTCCCACGCAGAGAGCGCGGGCGGTGGCCGGTGAGGGCGCATGACGCGTGAGTCGAAGGGACTGGGGTGTGCAGGGGGAGGCTTGTACTGCCGAGTCCCTTGGCCCTCCCAACCGTCAGCCACGGACCTCCACTGCCTCTACCGGCCTCCACATACAGCCACGATGCACTCGACCCCGGGACCCCCGGCCAGACGCCAGAGCCCAGCACGCCCATCTACACCCTCGGAGGTGCCATCCTGGGTGCCCTCCTTTCTGGGAGACGGGGCTGGCCGAGGAGTGCGCTGCGGAAGCAGCGGCGGACCATGCCAGGCCCTGGGCGCGCTCAGAGCTGAGCCACATGTATACCTTCTTTCAGAGCGAGAATGCCTATTCCTTGTAGCTCCGCCCTCCATTGGAGCCTTGACGCACCCTATATTCTTTGTAAGACCTGTATACCCCCAATCTGCGGCCCAAGCCGGAGATGTCACTGGGAGGAGGGTGGTTTGAAGTGGCAGATTCAGAATTGCCCGGGCGCACCTCCGACATGGCCCGGCATCGCGCATGTTCAGGGCATGTCCATTCCCGCAAGCGACAACACAGCATGGCGCATATCAACAAATCACAATGCGAGTCCTGATTATGTCAAATATGTTTTGAAATCATGGCTCTCCTTGACGAGTCTTCCTGGGCAAGGGCAAGCGGAAATATGGCTTGAGCTTTCGCGGGATCCATTGCTCTCCTGGGACCCATGGCTGCAGAGCTCCTCGGGCGACACAATGCCGTCATCGAATCGACGCTGGCTGGGAGTGTGGAGTTGGAGGTCGCACTGCATGAGCTCGTTGCCGTCCAGGTAAGCAGCCGCTGCCTCTCGAGCAGGACGATGACGACTCGATTGCAGCTGGAATGCAGTGTCTGCAGGATTTGTGGCCACTTCATCATCACTAGTAGCCTCTTGCGACATATAGCACGCGAGCATGGGTCTGTATCGTTCCATTCAAGCATTCAGCCAGCCTTGCAGGAGGGAGTGGCCAGCGCCATGCAGGACATGAGCGCATCTGCTGGCTTCCAATCCATATGCTCTCTCAACCAGGTGAGGCATGTTGTGAGCAGCCGAGAGAACAGCTGGGCGCATGGCTTGGTTTCCCACTGTCAGGCCGCTGGACACGGTCTGAGCGCGTGGCACAGCCCCAAGGCAAGCCACCAACACCCCGCATCGGCTCCCCAGCATGCGTCCCTCTCCTCCCTCCAGGCCATCCTGCACTACTACCTGTCGGACTACAGCAGCGCAGAGGCAGCCCTGCAAGCCGCCCAGAACCTGCCCACCCCTGCACACAGGGTCCAGCGCGATTTCCTGGCCACGGAGGTCGCGCTGGCGAGGCGCCTGGCGGTCTCCGCGCGAGCCAGGCTCCATACGGAGCGAGCCTGGCTGGGCGTGGCGTCTGAGGGGCCGGGCGTGGGACGGAGCGGTGCCGCGTCGGCCGAGTGCAGCACCCAGCCTGAGCCTGGCCTGGACCTGCACGCTGTACACGCTCTGCACGAGGTCCGCGCCTCCCTCCGGGAGCGGGACACCGCGGCGCCGGGCGTGCTGGAGTCCATGCTGGCAGACATTGCCGCCCTCGACCCTGGCGAGGTGTGTGGGTGGCGAGTGATGAGTGTGAGGCTGGGTGGTGTGCATGCATGGGAACTGGGGCGAGGCAGGCGTGCAGCCAGGCGACCTCGTCACCTGGACTGCATGCGTGCCTGTACCTCTTCCCAAACCAACCAAGATCATGCTCGCAATATTCCCTGTCTCTCCAGAGCGAGGCGGCTGAGGTGCTAACCTGCCAGGCATCTGCCCTGGCCGGCCGTGCGACTCAGGCTCTAGAGCCGGCTGGCCCCTCCTCCGAATCGCCAGCGATCAGGGTGGCCCTGGGCTGCGGGGCACTGACGTGTGGTCGCCCCAACACCGCCGCCCTGCACTTCACAGAGGCCCTGAGGGGTTGCAGCGCAGCACCCGTGCCCACCGATGCGCCAGGCGGAAGCCAGCCCTCCCTGCCAGAGACCGCCACGCGGCAGGCAGCCTGCCCAGACGCCCTGTCTGGCGCAGGGCTGGCGCATCTCCAGGCGGGTCGGCACGGGCTGGCAGCGCGGTGCTTTGCTGGCGCCGCACAGCGTGCACAGCGTGCCCCCTGGCCCTGGATCCGGCTGGCGGAGTGCGCAATGAGGGAGGAGGTGTTTCGCCGGCCCCTCCTGGATGCGCTCGCTCTGCCGCCGCGCCGCCCGTGGGCATGGCCCGAGGAAGGCAGTGAGCTCAGCCCGGGTGAGCAGCGGAAACTGCTGGAGGGTTGGGACATTGGGCCACCAGACCTGAGCGCCAATACTACTGCCGCCTACCTCGGGCACGCCCGCTTCCTCATCCGGCGGCGCAAGGAGGAACAGGCGGGGGAAGGCGTGCCCGGTGCTCTTGATGCGCAGCGGGCCCTGGATCACATCGATGCTTGTGCAGAGTGGTGGGCTGTCCGAATGCAGGCCCTTGGCCAGATGTGATGGCAAACACATGCGAGCATTCTTTCTGTAAGAACGGAATTTGACATGTCGTGCGCACAGCTGCCCACGTTCTAGACAACATCCCAGCTTCATGGCCGCCGGAATCGAACTGTCGAGCATGCGCAGATTCAAACGCACAGGCTGCAGGCAGGGCGGGGTCCAGCAATCAAAGAGAAACTGAACCAGTGCAGTATGATGAGAATAATCACTCTCTTCCCGATCTCGCGAGTGTTCGCTGGGGATGTCCTGATGGGCGCACAGTGATAGGCGAGTACAAACTCTTAAGCACCTCGGCACACCGCTTACTAGCGCTTGTGGGTGTGATCAATCGGTTCTGGGCTTGCAACCCATATCTCTCGCCCTCTCGCTGGCATGGCTCGGCTGGCGGGCTCTTCGGCCCCTGCCATGAACGCCGCCGGAGGGAGTGGCACGGGTCGTGCTACTCCCGTTGAAGGCCCGACTCCGGAACAGCAAAGCTCTGTCGCCCGGTTTGCATTCCTGCAGCACGTCATGCAGCAGGGCTACATTCTGGAGAAGCATGCGGAGGCTCTCTATCGCCAGCTCACCCTTGCTGAGGATGGTGGGTGGCAACTGGGTAGGGTCTGCACAAGATTTCGTGGACTGAACTGTCAGATGGCAATCCTGTAGACCCAGTCTAACACTCTAGCCCTTCAACCCAATTCCGCAGACCAAAGATATTTCGAGTTCATCGCGAAGATCAACCTCGACATATCCTTTGCGGGGTTCGAGCTGAGGAGGCTGCTCTTTACGGTGGGTGGGTGAACAGGACTTGCAGTGGAAAATTGCCCTGTCTGAGCCTCACTGCTTCCTGCCCAACTGCCCCCATCTGTTCTCCCCCCAGGTGGACAACCAGTACTACCTAGGGTATGTCAACCGCCTAGCGGATGAGCAGAGCAAAAAGGCGCACCCTTATAGCGACAAGGATGGGAGGCCCTCCCTCTCCCACACCAGCTACTTCAAGCACCTGGTGAGCCGATATAGTGGTAGGAGGGTGAGGATGAAGCGGGAATCGATTTCAATTTAAGAACATATGCCCCTGAACTGTGGGCTAATGTTTGTCTACTGCCTTCCCTCTAATCACCAACACCCACACCCTGCACCCATCCACCCCAGATCCAGCAAATAGCAGCCGCCTCAAACCATGCCGAAGGACCAGGCTACCTGACCACCGGTGAGGCCCTGAACATGCCCCTGGGCGGCTTTGGCGCAACTCAGGCAAGCCAGGGCGGCACCGTCCCACAGCGCCTTGCCGTGGGCGAGCGTGAGGCCTCCCTGCAGCGCTTCCTGGAGGATGGCTGGCTGGCGGAGTTCCCTCAGGTACCCGGCAGCTTCACGCTGGGCGTGCGCACCCTCCTTGAACTCCCCGGCTGGATCCTGGAGGCAGAGGAGCTGCCGGAGACCACCCGGCAGGTCCTGGAACGCTGCCGGGCTTGAAGGAAGGTTGTGCAGGGATCACAGTGGTGACGCTTTTACCCAATTGTCATTCGCAGTTTTGACCTTGCTGTGCATTATAAATATCAGGGGGGCTGCAAGGTGCATGAGGGGTTATGCCAGGCTGGCAGCAATGAAATCATGCTCTGGGTACAAGGTGACTGCGTGTCACCCATGCATTGGGACGGCTGGATACACATGGGAAGAACAGGAACTGGTACAAAAAGATTGGGAGGGAAGGTGTGAAGGTCTAGTCGACACAGTTGGTGAGGGGAGAATATTTCAACTCTTTGGGGGGGAAAAGCGGCAGCGGCCCCATCAGCATGTGAGTATTGCAGGGCCTCAGGGTGATGTGGCTCAACATATCCAAGGCATGTGGTGGGTCAAAGGCCAGGCATTGTCGTCCGGTTCACACCATGCACCCCCGAGACCTCAGGGTTTCCTCCACATACAGGATGGCATCCATGACGTCTGCCTGGATGTTCTGGACACCCAGCTTGTGCACCAGGCCTGCCCGCTTCATGATGTGCAAGACCTGTGAAGAATCATGGATACGTGATGTTCCTGGGCAGTAGGTCACCAGGATGGAGGAAGTCAATGCCTCAACATAAGCCTGCAGCGACTGTGCGGAGCTCGCGCTGAGACCCACCTGCTGGCTCGGATTGGCCAAGACCAAGCTGATGCCCTGGCCTTCCAGCTCATCCCTTGTTTCATCAATCCACTGGACTGCAGCAGCATCAAACGCTGCAGGGACGGGTAAGGGAACAGCATGTGAGGCGTGGAAATCTATACCTGGGCAACTGTGATCAAGTAGGCAGTCCTGCACTTGTCGCCCAGAATTCTACCCTAACAGCTTGATAGGCCCGATCCCAATGCCCATGTCAACCACCTCCATCAACACTCACTGGGCGACGCCGACAAGTCCAGCACCACAAACTGCAGCGGCTCTTCCTCGTCCTTTTCAGCTGCGACCTCCTGCGCATCCAGCTCTGCCTTCAGGCCCGTCCGGATGTGCTGTAGGGCAGGGGGAAGGCAGTGCGGGGTCGACAATTTGGAGAGAAGGGGTGTGGAGGGGGTGCGGGCTTTTACTTGCACGGTGTGCAGAATCGGCCCGCCGCCACATCGGCTCTGTCCTTCAGGGATTATATGCTGGCTTCCTGCTCTGATAATTGCCGGCATTCCATGCACCCACACTGGGCTATCACGCCCCAACATGCCTCCCACACCGTGTCACCTCTGCCCAGCATGCCACCAAGCCCCAGCCTAATCTATAAGTTCTTTTCGCCCAAAAGGCACCTTCTCCACCTCACCTCGATGCTGGCAAAGCAGACGGGCGCCGCGATGGAGAACAGGATGTAGCCGCGCGGTGCCAAGGCACCGCGATACTGCCGCAAGGGCCTGAAGTAGTTGGTCCCTGGCAGCCGCCCCAGCCTCAGGACGGCGGGGAAGGACACCCGGGCCAGCATGATGGCGACGGAAAGCGCGGCGGAGGCGCAGATGCCCCACTCCACCCCCACTAGCGCAACGGTGAGGAAGGCAGTGAGCCAGACGAGGAAGTCGGAGGGCGACACCCTGAACAGGCGGGCGCCCTCCCGCCAGTCAAACAGCTGCAGCACCCCGACGATGATGATGGCGCCCTGTCGAGGCGAAGGTATGTGTGCATGTGAGGAGGGGGTGGGGAGGTGCGGGGCACTTCTATGCATTTGTCAGCGGCAGGTAATCCCCTTGTGGGGCCAGTGCTTGTTGCTGTCGTGAAGGCAAGAACTTCTGGCATTGTGCAGAGCGTCACCTCACGAAGTTGTCCCTACCCAGTTCTCGTCCGTCATGAGCCCATACCCATCCCCCAGCCCCAAGAACCCTCGCTACGCCCCCACCAGATGCCCATGATGTAGCCTGCCCCAAACTCAATCCCACACCATACCTGGACGTTGGCAGACATGTGGGTGAAGAGTGGGGTCAGCCACGCGAGGACAGCCAGGAGGACCCCCCCCGTGATCGCCCCCGCCAGCGGCGTCTTGGCGCCGACGGCGTTTGAAACTGCGGAGCGCGAGAAGGAGCCGGTGGTGGTGTAGCAGTTGAAGGCCGACCCCGCCAGGTTGGCCACGCCCATGGCCAGCAGCTCCCGCGTCGGCGCCAGGCGGTACTTGTTGGCGGTCGCCAACGTGCGCGCGATGGATATGGACTCGCAGACATCCACCAGGCAGACCACCGCCGCCAGGCTGAGCTGGCGCGCGGGCGCCAGCAGCGGCAGCCACCACCCCACGGTGGCGGCCGGCAGGCCCGGCACGATGCGGCCCACGGGGTGAATGGGCGGCGGCTCGCCCCCCGGCCCCGGCTCGTCCAGGCGCCAGGCGCCCGTGATGGCAATGGACAGGGTACAGACGCCCAGCGGGCCCAGCGCGCGGAGGAAGAGCAGGCGGCGGTGCGCGGAGGACAGCACGCGCATGGCCAGGAGGAGGATCACGAAGGCGGAGCCCATGGCCAGCTCCGGCAGCGCTACCTCCCCCCACACCCGCACCAGGCTCAGCACCTGAGCCAGAGCGGAGGCGGAGCGCGGCACATTCACCCCCAGGATCCACTTGAGCTGCGAGGCGGCGATGGTGATGCTGGCGCCGGTGGTGAAGCCGGAGATCACCGCGTGGCTCAGCAGGTGGGTGAGCCAGCCCAGGCGCAGCGCGCCGATGGCGGTGTACAGGCAGCCGGCCAGGAAGGCCACCTGCACCGCGGCCTGGTTGTACAGAGCCTGCGCGTCGGGGTCGGCGGGGTGGTTGGGGTGGTCGTTCACGGGCACGCCCAGGCCGTCCATGATGTCGGGCAGACCCGAGCCCAGCAGGACCGAGGTGATGGCCACGGGCCCCACCGCCAGCTGGCGCGAGGAGCCGAGCAGGGAGTAGACCAGACAGGGCACGAAGGCGCCGTACAGGCCGTAGGCGGAGGGCAGGCCCGCCAGCGAGGCGTAGGACATGCCCTGGGGGATGACCATGGCCGCCACAGACAGGCCGGCGGAGATGTCGGCCTGTGGAAGTGAGAGGGAAATATCATGCTGTGTGTGTGCGTGAGAAAGAGAGGATGCTTTGTGGTCCTCAGCAAGGGTGTGACTGGCTGCTTTGAGAGTAGTTTAACCCCCAGACAAGGAAGAGGCGGCATGGGTGGGGTACCACCACTGGGGAATGCATTGGCACTCTAGGCAGCCTTGCCACCAACACCACACTCTCAACAGTATGATGGAAGTCCTTTCGCCCCTAACCATAAGCCATTGTCTCACCCAGAGGTAGTCTCGGACCGGGTACACCCTCAGCCAAGAAAGGCAGGGGAGCATAGCAAAGACCCACTCGGTCCAGGTGCATGCTGCCGCCCTCGCATATATTCTGCATGGAGGTCGAAGAATACAGGGCGCTGAGAACATGAATTACATGCATGACAATTATATTCTACAGGTACAGACATGCACTTGTGTTTAAAGATCAGTGGGGAGGGGATGATTTACATGACTTCTCGGTAGGTTCCACAGAGGTTAGAGGGCTCACCTCCGACCGCGCCGCACCACTCTCGTCCGAATCTCCTGCCAGCAGCCCTCCTCCTTGGGATCGAACTGTATACGTGTGAATCCGGCTTTATAGGGATGATGCACCAAGAGGGGCAAATCCAGGGAGGATGTGGAGCTGGAGGCGTCGTCAGCGTGCGTCATTTTGCCGGGTGGTGGAGAATCCGGGGGCGCCCAGGTGACTTCCGGGTGGGCGACAGACCCGACTTTCGCATGTAGAGTAGGTATTATCGGCTTCCCTGCATCTTAATGACACTTAGTAGATATGTTGTCCGTGATTCATCGCTTTTCATCTCCAATGTGGTCACCTGAGACTTAGCTCGCACTCATTCGCTGCTTCGATACGGGCCGAGAGGGTACGACAGCAGGCGCAGCACGCCGTCGGAGATTCGTAGCATGATCTTCAAGCCCGTCCGGAACTGGAGCGAGTAGCCCGTACACCCAGATCAGGCACTTGTACTGATTGTGATGGAGGCAACTTGATTCACACAGGTACTCATGTGTAGATGGCGCACTTCTGAGACGTCGATCTGGTCAGGCCCAAGATGTGAGCGCCAGCACACCCAGGCCCGGAAGCATACAGCTGTAGTTGGACCCACGCCTTCCTTATCCCAAGCCCAGACACTTACTATTCAGGTAATGATTGGTGATTGAAGAGATACACATTGGTACGTTTTGGGTCCGTATGTTTCCATTCTCGATTGGCAAGGGGGGCCTAATTGTGGTGGCAATATTGGGAGCACAGCCTTTCCATTCAATCATGCATGGCATGGGGATGCACCACGCCAAACCCCTCCATACTTGACAAGTTTATCCTGTTGATTGCAAGCACCACAGCACTGCAGCGCATATCCGCATCAACATTAAGCGCCAATCAGCACAATCCCTAGTCAGTCAGTCTAGCATCTTGGTCCAGTCAAAGGCATCAAACTCTGCCCGGAATTCGCGCGCCCATCGTTCCTGCAGCGTCTGAGACTCTGCCTTTGCCTTCCGATGCATGTCCGCCTCGGGCAGGCCCAGCAGACCTGCAGGGGGATGTGATTGCCAAGCAGGGTGATTCAAGCCAGTGTTCGTCACTCCAGGTGCCCTGCAGAGCTCTGATTCCCAGACTTGAATATTGTCGAAGCAAACGCAGCCCTCTTTGTCGATGCAACCACCACCCCAACGCACCTATGAGCACGCTCCGGGCCAAGGAAGCGTCGAATGTGGACTCGTCATCCACTACATGCACGAATCCTGCCGACAGCCCAAATTCCACATGGAGGTAGGCAAAGTTCTCCGGGATGGAGCCTCGCAAGCCCTGGGGGGTTGAAGTGCGGAGCGCTGGTCCATGGGCTGGGTGATGCATGCTTGGTGCGAGTATGGTGATTTTTGAGTGCCACCTGCTGCCAATCACCAGCCCTTTCACGGGAACATGTCGTCACCAGCACAGGTGCTAGTTCTTGCAAACAATGAGCTGACTGGAAAAGCCTCAGCATCATGCCAAACCTCTTGCCAGATGATCTTTCCCCCACCTTTGCCCGGGTATCGATGAACCGCTTGGCGTGGTGCTGCGCCCACTCGCTCGTGGCATCGTCAATGGCTTTCTTGAACACCATGGGCGCTCGCCCGGCAACTGCTTACATTGTGGTATGGGAGAGGATGGAGCGGGGCTGAGAGCGTTCCATACAGAGCTTGTAGCTGGAGACCACTGGTTTCCGTGAAGTCCATGTCAGAGGTGCCGCAAAAGGGAACTTGAATAGCACCCAGCATCTTGGATTGTGTGACCCGCCTCAGTGCCCCATGGTCATATTGCCAGGCTGACCTGAGGCCTTAGCTTCCAACCTCCCCACCCCACCACCACCAATACATCGCAGCACCCTTCCCTCCCCCCCACTCCACCCAGACTCACGTTCCATGGGTATGGGCACGCACTCCACAACCGCGTGGGAGCGGGGGTCGCCCAGGCGCAGAGCAGTCTCGAAGAAGATGCACTCCATGCCCTGCGAGGCATGCGCCAGTCGGGCGTCGAGGGAGGCACATGGCAACTCAACACTTGTGGTGAGGTGTGGTGGTGGCAGCAAGCGCCATCACTCTCACGGCACTGTCGTAAACAGCCACCTGCTGGCACCACCTGAACCTACAGCACCCACCTGCTGCATGTTCATCTGGATGAGGCACTTCTTGAAGTTGCGCAGCTCCGTCCACACCGTCTCGTCCACTTGACGCGTGGAGGGCACGTGCTCTGGGCAGGGGAGGCACAGAGCGATCAGGCCTGGTGTCGATATGCAGGCCACGGCGCTTTGATCGGGCACTGCTCCCCCCTCTGCTGGTAGATTGACTGCCCCTGCACACCTGCCGGCATGTCCATGGGGAGGCAGGGCCATGATACCCTGTAAAGCCTCTGACTCACCCCCCCACCCCTAACACGACCTCCCCCAGCCACACCCACCCATGGGCAGGATCTGGCAGTGCCCCGGCACCAGGCGGCCCCTCGGCGGCAGCGCCAGGTAGGCGCCCTGCCCCACCGCCAGCGCCAGGTGGCGCTGCCGTGCCACGGAGGTGAAGCAGCGCCCGCAGCGTTCCTGGCCCCGCGCCGCACGGCCAAATTCGCGCACCTGCCGCGCCTTATCGCGCTGCGCCTGCTGCGCGGCGTCACCGTGCTTTCTCTGCGTGCGGTCCATCAACTCCAACCCCGCATCGTGGTCGTACTCGTCGTCTGCCAGGTTTGCGGGGGGGGGGGGGGGGGGGGGGGGGGGGGGG